TTTTGTTTGACGTTCAAAGTGCCTTCCTGGTCTAATGAAATAAATGATTTTGACTTTGACTTTTATCTCGTACCTACACTGTTCACTTCCTTTTCAAATTCTGTTTTCGTTTATTTTCTCTCAATTCTTCTTCCGCACTTATTTATTCATCAGCAGCTAAGAGTAAAGTTATTATAGAATAAGTTAAATGTTTTTGTGTAAAATTAATAATACAGATACAATGTAAATTGTTAAATGAATAAATAAATGAAATATTCGAGCCAATGGATTACAGCGCGATGTTTGACCCAAAGCTAATAATTATTTATTTATTTAACACTTTATGTACAACTGTATACAATGGCGGACTTAATGCCGAATGGCATTCTCTACCAGCCAACCATAAGGTGATGCAGTGAAGTGTTACAGTAGGCTTTAAAAGAAGAATTATTCGTGGAATGATTTTTAAAAATTTTCAAAATTGTTCTTTCATTAGAACCGAACAACCAAACTACAACAGCTATTTATTAATCATATCATAATAATAGGGATGATGACAGGGTATGAAAATTAAAAATATAATTAGTCCTTAAGTTAGGTAATGAAAAAATATAAGACACGTATTTTTTTATTTTGTCGTATAACAAAACCATACTTAGATAAAACGAATCAAAGTTTAGGATTGGGGGCTAAAACGTCATTTCTACGTATAAAATTTACATAGAAGTGACGTCACACGACATTTCAAATCACTATATCGTCGAAAGTATTCGTTTCTGTAAGAAAAATAAAAAATACGTGGCTTATGGTTTAAAATAATCTACCAAACGGATATTAAGATTAAAATTAGGCATCTACCCTATTCTCCCACCAATATATATCAAAAAGAACAATACAAGAAAACTAACCTCTAGTAGATTGCAAACAAAGAAGATGAGATAGTAAGATTCCATCTGTAGGTACCTTAGCGTCTACCAACACAAATACATTTATTTTCAAAATAACTACGGTACTACAATTTTTTTTTTTTAAGGGGGGAAAATCATCGAATGACTACTCCCGCCTGGGTGAGGCGGGAGGGAGTGTCAGACTCTTACTGACTAAAACCCACTCCGTTCCTTCTCCTGCACGTCGAGCCGGAGCCCCGGTTACCCGTTAGGTTCTCCGCAACACGGTACTACAATACGGTGCTACCGTAAATATGTCACTGTATAGGTGAACACAGAAGGTATACATCGCAATATCTGTCGATCGTACAGGTGCTGAACCCAAAATTGTGACAGTACACAACGATTTGACTTGGTGTACCCTTTACAATTTTTACTTTATTGTATACAAAATATGGTTGGCATATCTATGTTATTGTCATAGTATCAGTGCTGATGTTTCAATAAAATACCCAGCCCAACGGTCACTCTATGAACAGCGTCTTCAGCAATCAATTAATTATACAAGGTGTTGTTTTAAAGCCGCGTCATTTTCTAGGAGGTAACTCGGCTATCGATTCTGAGTCCGAATCAATAAAAAAATTATAGATAAATATTTTTCATTTTTCTGTAAATTACGGAAATCCGTAAGTGTGAACTACACGCCGCCGCATGTATATTAGCTTTATAACGCGGCTTAACACACACAAATTCAAACACGTAATTGATATTATTCCTAATTCCATAAAACTTCAATAAGAAACATTGCTGTCGCTTATTCTGAAATACTGTCGAACTTAAACGATTTATTATAGCCATATTTTTAACTACTGGCCGGAAACTTTCTTTTACATTGAACCTTTATGACTTCTGTGACATGCACCGAGAATTGTCACGGTTGCAAGTACGATGCTTGATCTACAAGGCAGCTATAACATGACGCTATCTATCGTCATACCTGTAAACCCCAAAAGAGTTGACAAAAACCCACTATATATTTATTTCAACCTGTTATGTTATTAATTCCACAAACATTTCCTACATAATTTAAACCTTCTATATCACCTGAACAGTGACAAAGAAACCCAGCAGATTTACTGCGTCTCAGGGCTTTTATTGAAATTAGACGATCGACCGACTGAATTTATTTTATTGCTTTTGAGAAGGAAAAGCATTCTATCCAACCATTTTATTATCATCTAAGTGAGCGTCAGTGAAAAAGGCGTTGGAGCTAAAAAAACTAGTTTAAAAAATGTATTTCAAACAGTTTTTGAGCACAAAATGGCAGCCAGTTTTCAGTGTGAAGTTTTTTGAAATGGTACTGCGTTGTAAACCGGGTTTGGTTGTGAATAGAAGTTTTTGTGTTCTGTACATGTGTGTATGACTATGTATGCATATGGGTATATGTACTATTGGTAGATTGTACGTTGAAAGTACATAAGAATAAACTTTATAACTATCGGTAGTAAGTTACTTTTCTAAAAAAATGCGATTTCTTCCTTTACGAAAAAAGTGAAGTGATAAATTAGAGGTACAATAATTTCTTATCCAGAGTAATTATACTATGAATCGTGTAATATAATCTTACAATTCTTAGTACAAATATAATTGTAAGTAAGCAGACGGATCACCTGATGGTAAACAATCGGCGTCGCCAATAAACACCTGGAACATCAGAGGCGTTACAAGTGCGTTACCGGCCTTTTGGGGATTACTAGTTTGAGGATCGATTCGGATTCAGGGATTTAGGAGATTGGGGAAGGGGAGGGAAATGGGGCCCCCGGTAACCTCACTCACACGACAAAATACAAGGCAAGCATTGCTTCACGTCGGTTTTCTGCTCGGCCGTGGTATCACTCCGGTCGAGCCGGCCCATTCGTGCCGATTTATGCCAATTCATTTATAATTTACCAAGTAAGTTCTATCACTGGCGAAACGAATATAAATATATATCGTCCATTTCTACATAATTATATTAACTCATAGAACTTTTACTGACCTTTAGGGTTTTGGATATGGACCTTTTATTCGATCTCTTTGACTGGATTTTATATATATTACATTGTTCTCGCACAATCGAACCAACAAAACTATGTAACTAAACAATTGTATTGTGAATCTGATTCAAAAAGAGTAACCTATGGAGTTTCTTGCTTGTTCTTCTCAATAGGAATCTACACCTTGGAATGAGCAAATAGCTTCACTTTTAATTTTTTGTTGACGTGTCAGAAAAGTGCCTTTATGAGCTAAATAAAATAAATGATTTTGACATTGACTTTGAACGTATAGATAATGTAATATTATGACAAAGTCCCTAACAAAAGAAATTACAATAATATTAAGAACAGTTGTTATGAACCGACACCTCCCATAAGTCCCTCTTCACACATACTTCAGATCGATTTTATTACACTTCCATGAGGCTGCCGATACCATTTTCCCTATGAGTCCCATAAGAGGGTGGGCTGTATACTTCGATAGACGTTTTATTGAACAGTCTTAGAAATTTTGCAGTGTTTGTAGACATAGAGTAATGTATTTTGAATCATAGAGCGTGATGACGTATAATACAATATATACATAGGTATAATAAAATTGCAGAAATGTTAATTCTATACATTAAAAAAATTAAAAAAAATAGTCGCAGTGTCACTGGATAGACACAGAACCGAAAAAAGTAATTTAAAAAAATTTGTCTGTTTGTCTGTCTGTATGTACATGCATTACGCAAAAACTATTAGTTCGATTGCAATGAAACTTGGTATGATTATACTTTAATATCCTGGGCATCTCACTGAGTACTTTTATCCAGGAAAAGTATACACACTAAAAAACAAACTTAATTATGCGGCTCGATTCCTAGACACAGTTACTGTACCAAACGCAAATATAAGTTTGTTGAATGTTAGTTTACCCGCTGTGGATCATACGCTGTAACTCTAGGGCCGATGCAATGGTCAAAATTAGCTTGCATTGCTATTATAAATGGGAAAAATTTGTGAATTTGTGTGTTTGTGTATATTTTTATTACTCAGTCATACCAAAACGGCTGAAAAGACCGGGATAATATTTTGAAAAGGGTAGATTATGGTCTAGAGTAAGACTTTTTTTTTATATTTGTTGGGACGGCATTTGATCACTATCTTGCCTGGTGGTAAGCGATGATGCTGTCTACGTATAGTCCACTTATCATCCCCGGGAACGCGGGCAAAACCGCTGGCAGAAGCTAGTATTATAATAAACTTCGGCCTAATAATAGAATGCTGACGAGTGGATGATCAAATCAAATATTAATATACCTCTATATATTATGTATTTGATTTATTTAGTATTTTTTTAGATCCAAATACCTACAATTGTATTACTATGAGAATACTCTCAAACAATCTTCTTGACCACTGAACGTGTTAGACTAGATTAGTAAGGGAAAGAAAGTTCTTGTTTCACTTTCGGGGTTGACTAGAAATAGTTCCGGTTTAAGAGTGTCCGTAGCACGTCGTTTTTTGTAACCAAAAATATGTTTCTAGGTAAATTAGTAACTATTTTAAATTACCTTCTTTGATAGTTCATTCAGTTTTGTAAACAAGAACATAAAAATATGCTGTAATAATTAGTGAATATGAGTAAGCTAACGTTAGATGGTTGGATCAAGGGCCTGATGCAGAAAGCAGTACTTCTGGACACGACGTGTATTGTCTAGAAATTCCTCTCTCTCTCTCTAGAGCCCTGACCACCAGTACCTTTCATTTCTCCCGTTACTAGTGACTGCTTTTTATATTTTGAAATGTTTTTATAATTATATACTTAAAATATATTATCAAGTATGCAAATAAATAAAGAGACTGTAAATAAGTACATAAAAAATCACCAAAACGATAATGTAAAATACATAACATACATAAAATCACGCCTTTTATTCCCGAAGGGATAGGCAGAGATGCACATTATGCCACTGTACAATGTAACATCCACTTTTCACTATTTATGTTATTTATTTTATTTATTTATTTATTTCTTTATTTCAGGCAACTGTGGCCCATATAAAATATAATACACAAATAAAAATACAATATAAAACTAAAAAATTACAAATACCAAAAAATTTAAACATCAATAAACTAATAGATATACAATAACAAAACTCATAATTATAATTATTGCACACGAAGAGACGGCGTCGTGTTTCGCTGACTGGTATCACGTAGCCGGCCACGGAAACGCCGATACACGATACCCTTCGGCCAAAACTGTTCCTTGAGAAAGGTTTCAAGATCATGTGTTGGAACCCGCACCACGAACGACTTGAAGTTAATATTGTGGCGCGACTCCAACTTCTCTACTCTCAAGATCCAGTTCGTCTTCACTCGCAAATACTCCACGACATCCTCTGCCTTCGTGGAGTGATGCAGTCGGGACACGTACAGCAGCGTCGTGGGTGTCGCTGGACGCAGCAGCATGTTGGGTCCTGCCAGCGCGGTACCGCACTGGTTGCGGCAAAGAGGCTTCTTCTTCCTTTCTACCTTAATGAAGCCCTCATTGTCATGCTTGTCCTTTTTCAGACTAGGCTGGTTTGCTTGACCCCGTTTTATATTGGCCGCTTGCTTTTTCTGCGACGATTCAGTTTGGTTATCGGCAACGATATCTGCATAGGCACGTTTAGGGGTCAACGTACCTACACAAGCCTGTACTTGCACCGGTGTCGAAGCGCAGGCGGCGGTGGCGCGTGATGCTACGCTTGCAGTTTTAATGGGTGACGCACTCGCCACCAACGAACTGCTGATCGCAGCGTTTTCCGCTCCATGTCGTGTGTTCATATTGGAGGCGTCAGGTGACCCAGTTACCGAAACAGCGCTGCGTAACAGCACTACCTCGGCACGTAAGTCACATATGGTGTTATTTGATACCTCCAATTTTGACTGCAGCTCGGCCAGGCTAACTTTGAGGGATGTAATGTCCTTAAGAAGCCTGGTTACGTCGACGTGGTCAAACGTGATGGGCGGCAGTTTGTGCAGGTCCTTCACCACGAAATCGGGCACGTCATCCGGGTCAGTCTCTTTCATCAGGGTGATTATGTCCTGGATACTCTTCTCGGTACCATCTCTCCGGCGAGACGGCATCTGGTCGATTTTGCCGAGCGTCTGGAACAACAGCAACTTAGCACTGCATATCTCTGCTTCCTTGAAGGCAGACTTGCAGATCTGCAAGATGCTGATCTCGTCCATATAATCAATGGCATGCTTCAAGAATGCCAATAACTCGTTTGCTATGAGAGGTTTAGAACTCATTGCTACGTACACGGGCAGCGGCTATAGCCGCGCAATTCGCGAATAAAATATTCGTTGCGAGCAGCGTACATACGTCCGTACTCGACTGTGCATCGCGGCCGAAAAAAGTCCAAGTTATGAGTCCCATGTAATAGGCTTTGAACCTACTGCCATATACCGGGCACAATTCCAGACTTCGTGCTACTACTGAGAATTAAAAACCCAGTAGTACATTGCCCGACCCGGGAATCGAACCCGAGACCCCTTGCTCGGCAATCGCACTTACGACCACTCGGCCTACGAGGCAGTCTAATAGTCAGTATAATGTAAAATAATAAAACGATTTTACAACCTCATTGTACTTAAAGCAGCTTATTTAGTTCTTAGCTCTTTATATACCTAGGTACATAATAAACGTTTAACTTTTATGATGATAAGATAAAAAAACAAAAGAAGTTGAGACAAGCCTTAAAAATGTAATTATATAAAGTTGTTGAGACCACTTGAGAAGTTGTCTTAAGTAAATGTGAAAAGATTTAACATTTTACCATAAATTGTATTCATTGTTTTTCAATATTGTTGTGTTGTGAATATGTGTTACATTTTAATTACAAAAAGGGTGTTTCGTTGTTTGAGTGGTGTGGCTGTCAAGTACAATTAAAGTCTCGAGTTCGATCGTAAGCTTTGAGTCAAGAAATCTCATGTGATTTTATTTTCTTATCAAAAAATTATAAAGTGTAATATATCCGTAGTTTATCGAAATGGAATTCGACTCAATGTTTAATTAACACTTTAGTTTTTATGTTCATATCCATCCAAATCTTAACACCTTGAACGCCATGGGGGACAAGGTATGGGCCACGATAGCGGAGGATTTACCTTTAACAGTTTTCTGTCGGCAGTCAAAGGTTTAAGCATAAAACGTTAGTACCTACGTTATATTGAAATCCATTTGACAGCTGCCGTTTATCGCGTATAACTGATTGTGATTCTCTCATCAGGGCTGCTAAGTCTCACATTCACTGTTCCAAAATACATTGCAAATACTACCATTAAAACAATTAACGCCCAACACAATTTGAATAGGCAATTTACTAAAAAAGCAACGGAACCCTAATTCTGCGCAGTAATTGTTCGCGAAGGGGTTCTGTACGTCTTACTTAATGGGAATAAGGCTGGAATTGGCTCCCTTTGAAGACGGCTGTATTTTCCTGAGTGGTTTACGGCCCTTGTGGTTCGGTCTCGGCTATGTTAGAAAGATTTTTGTATTACCTAAGACAATATTACATTACAGTCTGTTATTATACGAAGGCATAGGTTACCTAAGAATAGTACTCACTATTTACACCGGCTAAGTGGTATTTATAAGTCGAATGACTTCCAACTTGAGTATAAATTTTAAAAGCGTTCATTCACTTAGAATTTGGACTTAAAGACTTATTTACCACTAAATTAAACTATCAAACACCAAGCGGTCACCGGTGACCGCAACCTATTGTTCTATAATTGTGTCTACAAAACCGGTACTCGACGAGTTAAAATAATTATAGCGATTCACAATAAACATATTTTTATTCAATTGATATACGAATGCACGGGGTTGGTGCGGTAGCTGGGCAACCGGCTGCTATGCAATGTGTAGCGGGTTCGATTCCCGCAAAGAGCAACTCATTGTGTGGTCCACAAATTGTTCTTTCTAGTCTCAGTATCATGTGTATAGAAAGAAAGAAAAATAATTTCTTCGTATTGTATGTGACATTAAGTGTTTGTAAACGCACCCACGATACAGGAAAAATCCTAGTATAGGGCAACGTTTTATAAAAGTATAACGTATCTAATTCCAAAACATAAATAAAGAGCACATCACAGCGTGATCCTTGATCCTTGACACACATATAATTAGATGAACAGCACTCATCTATAAATTAGGGAGCTGATTAATAAATTACCTTCATCTTAACAACACGCAATAATATACTAGGATCCTATTAAACCTCAGCACGTCTCCGAGGTGTTCTGCTAACGCACTTACAGGGTGTTCTAACATACTTACGGGGCGTATTCTAATGAGCAATTGACGGTGGCGCCCCCCAACGTCACTAATTATGGCGACAGGCGGGAGCCCGCTGTTGCTAAGCAACGGGGCGTCTTGTTAATTTAAAGCTAAGTGCGGTGTTGTTTTGTTTCTTGAAAATGTGTGAAGGAAATGATGCTTTTGTTAAAGAGCGGAATAAAACTGAATACCTAAATATATTGAAATAAACATCGTTGTTTACAAAACCGCGTTTCCTTCACACAACATACCAAATGTTAAAATCATGTTATGTTCGTAAGCAGCTTTTACTTAATACAAATACTGAGTTAAACATCAATAAAAACAATCAGAATGTCAAAAAATAAATCCGCGCGCTTTCTCGTTTGAACGTGTTGGTATTGAAAAATGGCGTCCTGTCACCTGTCAATGTTGGTTGACGTCAACCCGACGCCCACACAAAATACAAACAGCCTGTATTTTATTTATTTGCATAAAATGTTGGTTATTCGACGTTGGATATTTTGTGGCTACACGTCACTCTGGCTAGGTTTAATAAAGGAAAATAGCAAAAATATTGACATTGATATCGAAACTTAAAAAAAAACAATTAATGAAACAAAATTTCATTCAAATTTTTGTCCGTCGAGAGTGCTAGCACTGAAATAATTAAGTAACAGAATTCATAAAAACCTTCATCATTGTTTTTTTTAAAAAAAAACGTTGCTCCACACTTTTATAAATTCTGATATATAAATTTCTATATACATACCAACCTGATTAATACCTTTGTAAATTTATTTCATAACAAATAAATTGAACATTTAAAAACGCGTTAAGGGTTCTTTCATACGTTACGACTAAATTAAAAGAGCTCTAAGCGCAAATTTTATACAATATTCAAAATACAAAAATCATCTAATAACGCTATACCACAAACACAAAATCCAATCAAAAATTTTAAATCCCTCGATTCACAAACATAGATTACTAATCGAGTGTCAATCAAGTCGCGCGGTTGACAGCTAACCTTCCGCTGCTTGCACAAACACGTGACCTACCTTACTCTCACCGCGGGTAAGGGTTAGTACATACATAGTTTACACGATGTTACACTTGGGAATCATCCTGTAGATATCGGCAGGGGTTTGTATGATATTATGTATGTTATGTGTAAAGAGCGTTGATCAGGATAAGGTTATGTTTTTATCTATTTAATAACATAACATAACATAACATCACGCCTTTTATCCCCGAAGGGGTAGGCAGAGGTGTACATTATGCCACTGTACAATGTAACACCCACTTTTCACTATTTATGTTATCAGTCCCATGTAATAGGGGGTGAGCCTATTGCCATATACCGGGCACAATTCCAGACTTCGTGCTACTACTGAGAATTTATAAAAACCCAGTAATACTTTGCCCGACCCGGGAATCGAACCCGAGACCCCTTGACCGGCAGTCGCACTTGCGACCACTCGGCCAACGAGGCAATCTATTTAATAACCTTTATTAAATTTCCAATAAAAACTTAAATAATATTAAAATTAACTATTACTAAATTAATAATAAAATATATACAACTTGAGGTTAAAATTATATAAAAGAAAAACAAAACCAACTATTTACACATTATCTATTAGGACACAAATTCGGGTAACCATTTAAATACAAGAAAATTATCGAAAATGCTTAAGGCAAACTTCTTGTTAGCAATGTATGAGAAGCTACCACCAGCAACGAAAAATATTACTCACTATGAATCGTAGTAGAATAGGTAATCCTAATAGGAAAGCATAGACGAAATAACAACAGTAAACTGTAAAAACATCAACATACACAATATACTCCAAATTACATGATTAATTAAATAAAACTCCCATCACCAAAAACCCTTTAAACATAACAACATTACATTAGAACCCCTTCATTACTTATTTAAAAAAAGAACCTTTTTAAAATACCTAACGGCCTCCATACAACACATGTTCCTTTTTCAAAATAAAACCGTTTTATATGTGTTGGCGTGCGAGTGACATTCGTATTACTGGCAGCCCTGACTAAATTGTACATTAGGGTTGTCATACACCGGGATATTTATGACATTTCACGTCTCACCGCGCTGCGAAATAGAGTAGTAGTCGGTAGTCGGTTGTGATTTTTTGACTTCATGAAGAAATAACTGCCTCATTGGCCGAGTGGTCGCAAGTACGATTGCCGGGCAAGGGGTCTCGGGTTCGATTCCCGGGTCGGGCAAAGTATTATTGGGTTTTTTTTAAATCTCAATAGTAGCACGGAGTCTAGAAATGTGCACGGTATATGGCAATAAGCTCACCCCCTATTACATGGGACTCATAACATTAATAGTGAAAAGTGGGTGTTACGTTGTATAGTACAGTACCCTTTCGGGGATAAAAGGCGTGATATTATGTTATGAAGAAATAAAAAATGTTGGAGTTCAAATCGGTTTGTTAACTTCCTTTGAAGTCCTATGTTTGAAGTCCTAAAGATATTTAAATTCTAACCTACTAAAGATATTTTTTTATAAACGACGCGTAATAAAAATTACTTCAACCCCTTTTTTTGAATTTAGTTAGAATTAATATACTAAAACCTTCTCCTAACTGTAAATAACACTTTTCTTAAAACGGCATCAAATTCGTTTCGAAATATAAATAAGAAGTCGGTTAAAAAAAATTCAGAAAAACGGAATCCAGAGAGACCTTGTATTTCTCTACCAACCTACTCCTGACAAAATAAAAAGAGTAAGACTAAATAATGTAAATAAAAACACAAAACTCATTATTTAACCATCAATATTCTGAAAGAGTACTGAAAAAGTAAGAATAGCCTGTAACGGTTCGTTTAATTACATAAATATTATTGTAATGCTTCAGTAAAACCCTTCAGGAACAATGTAAATGTAATTTGTGAACAAAAAACCCGAGGAGTAACTGAAACTGAATATTGAGTACCTTTTATCTTTGCTTTCAATCCTGAACTTCCCTCTCTGTCACTCTCCCTTGACTAAAACGAGACGGAAAAT